TCAGTGGCGTTCGTGCTGTGAGTTTCTTTGTCCCACCCCATCCCTCTTAGCCTCCCCCTCCAACCACGATCTCATTACTTAGCCTTATATAATTCTGCATAATAATTTTTTTGGTGCACAGCAGCCGGCTGGTAGCTTATCGGAACGATGCCCATCCGTTACCGGTAGCTCAGCCAGCTTTCACCAGTTGTTCTTTTTTCTCTGCTTTTTTCTTTGTATTGCGGCACAGTAGCTGAGGTATTCCCCACCTATAGCTAACGTGCATGATGATGATGATGATAGGTCTGAGTAAATCCAGTTAGTGGCGATGGCAGAGCTTTCGAACCATGACAGACGAGTACGACGACTTCGAAGTTATGCTGCAGCAGCAACGCAAACTGGTGTCCGTGCTGACCGACAAACTTTCCGATTTGCAGGGCTGGAGTAACCTTCGATTCTTGGTATATGTGGTACAAGGACCTGTCTACTGTTGACCCGGCCTGCCAGAATGACGCGTGGAAGACCCAGTTACTTCTGCACAAACGGTACGTTTGAACACCAACGCTATACCAATTTTAGGTTGCCCAATAACCCACGAGACGTTAGTTTCAACGAGACAGTCCGAACCTTATCTCAGATTTTCGGCGAGCAGTCCTCTCTGTTCAATGCCCGCTATCAATGTCTGCAGCCGGTCAAGGGTGACGCCGAAGATTTCACTACGTACGCGTGCGTGGTCAACCGTGAGTGCAAGCGTTTTCGACTTGGTTCGCTTACAGAGGACCAATTAAAATGCTTGATCTTCTTCTCTGGTCTCCAGTCTGCACACGATACCGATATACGGACGCGTCTCCAATCCAAATTCCAGCAGGATATCACTGTCACACTCCAGAACCTGGCCGAGGAGTGTCAAACGTAGCTGAACGTAAAGCACGACACTGCCATGATCCAGAACGCCGCCGCACCTGGTATGGTCGAGGCAGTTGCAACACCTAGGGCGCAATCGTCCGTGCGCCCCACCCAATCAGACCGAGCGAAGTCCCCACCCTACGCGTGCCGATGCTGTGGTGCCTAGCATTTCCACCGGGACTGCAATTTCCGCCAGCACCAATGCCAAGGTTGCGACAAGGTGGGGCACCGGGATGGTTACTGTTACGCTTCAACTCCCAAAAAGGGCAAAACTGAGCTGGTCCCCGCCCACGATCCAAAGAAGAGATCCCGACCCCGACATAAACCCAAACCTGGTCCGGTTGGCAGCTCCCTGAGCCTGATAGCTACGTTTCAAGTCAACGCTGCGGATCGGAGAAAATTCGTTGATGTCTTGGTCAACGGTCAGTCCGTCCGATTGCAGTTGGACACTACGTCGGACATCACGATCATCTCCGAGGATCTCTGGCGATCCCTTGGCAAGCCACCATTCGAATCGAGCTCCCAACCAGCCACCAGCGTCTGTAGTGGTCGCGTGCAGCTAATTGGGCAGCTGTATTGCTGCGTCTCCTTTCGAGGCACCACATTCAACGAGATCCGCTACATCACGAAGGCGAAGCTCAAAATACTTGGCCTCGACAGGCTCAAAACCATTGGCTTGGCTGATCTGTCTCTTCCGGCCATCTGTAAGGCGGCACATTCTACTGCAATACCAAGGGACCGAACCGACGACCCCATCAGACAGTTCGCACCCGTATTTCAAGGTGGTCAACAGGCATGCAAGATGCCACCACACCAATCATCAGTTCCTTAGCAAAGGACAGAAAAATCGTGGTCTCGAGTGCACATCGACTACGCTGGTTTGATTGATGGCACCTCCTACTGGGTCGTGGTCGATGCATACTCCAAATGGCCTAAAGTGGTCATCGTCAACCCGCTAACCACATCTGCCACACTGGATAGTCTACAACGAAGATCCAGTCAATATGGACTCGCCGAGGTCTTGGTGCCAGGGAATGGTTCCCAGTTAACGTCTTTGATGTTCGAAGGCTTTTGTCACCGGCATTGCATCCAACACCTACGTTCATCACCCTACCATCCAGTCCAATCGTCAAGCGGAGAGGTATCCCGACACCTTCAAGAGGGTATGCTTGAAATCTAGTGGGGAGGGGACAGTGGATGAATGTCTTCAAGCGTTCTTGCTCCCTTACCGGCCCACACCAAATCTATCCACTCCAGGATGCCAGTCTCCAGCTGAAGCACTGAGAGGCCGCAAGCTACCCAGCACAAAGGGAGCGCTGATCCCGACTGAAAAGCCACCAAGTCAAACTATCTCTTGCATTGAGCACAATGAATTCGTCGTTGGAACCCCGGTATACGCTCGCGACTATCGGACAGGTTATCCAGGCTGGACCACAGCAACATTGACTGCCCGTCGAGGTGAAATGCTGCATGATGTCTGCGCAATCGCAATTAACTCCGACCGCGAGACGGAAAACCCTCCACGCTAGCCAGTCTTCCTGTGTACCTGCAGCTGCACATCTTGTTGGATACGTACGGATTCGCCACAGAACGGAAGATGCCGGTCGAAGCCACCCAGTCACTGCAATGTCTTTAGAACCCGCCTTAGCGATAAACAGGAAGAATCCGGAGATCACTGAAATCCCTCCAGGTCAATCCTCGTCAGAAGCGGTACACATTATCTGCAAACGGAGGTGTTGCGGACACGTCAAGTAACTCCACAAAAATGCACCACGATATCCAGTGCGATGGTTATGAGACGCATAGTTCAATTGCTGCTCACAACGTAGCAGGATTCAGCCACTCGGAGTTGGGGCACTACTGCGATAAAGTGAACAATGTTCTTCCGTAAACCACCAGACCGACGTGGCGACTCAGTCACCCACAAAACGGCCTTTGTGGGTCGTAAAAGAACTCACAGAGGTCCGCTTCATCTTCTCTTGTCTCCTCTTGTGGGTGGTTGGGAACCGCCTGGTCACATGGTTGTATGCGCCGTGTGTTTCCTACACGTCTAGTCCCCCGTTGTCTGTTTTCGAGGACACATTGTGTCACCCGAATAGGGGCCCGTGCTTAGGTTACGCGCAACTTTCGTCTAAGATAATGCGACCAGATCTTCGTAAATCTACTACATTATGATATACAAACTGGCAACCCTGCCAAGCTGAGTATTCAGTAAGCGGTAGGTGTCCTTGGCAGCATTAGAATTGCAGTCGGTGGGAGCATAAACGGAAAACACAAACAAAGAGCGTCTAGTACTACTCTGAGACTCTATCTTAATTTATGTCGTCAAATGAGTTGAATACAAACGAATGCTCACGGGAATCCAATCAACCAACGAAGAATTAGTCTTGGAATTGAGGATGATGCCCACTACAGGTTGACCAGTGGCTGACGCATCAGACTCTACCACTAGCAACAGGACTAGCCGGGTGCAGCTAGTTCAACAACCATTTGGGGATCATCAAACCTAGTTTCGGACAAGTAACACATGTTCATACCCAGGATGTGCTCTCATAAAGGGATGTCGCTAACAGCAGTCCAGTAGCTGGTGCAGGAAGATAGCTGCAGATGGCATAACTACGATGGTATTGCAGCTGTTATCAATTAAGCTGCTGTATACAGCAGACAAACTAATCCTTAAAGACTGCATGACAGCAATGCAGGATGTTTGCTGGAATAGTCATCAGTGCATGCAAGTAGAGATACCAGTAGGGCAACTAAATCTAGATAGGAGAGCGACTTGAGTCTTCGGTAAAAGCTTTTGCCCATAAGTCTATCCACAGAAATGGGCTCCATCCCATTTTCAAACCAAAATCTGAAGGAGCGGGAGATAGCCCGTCTGACTTTTAATCTAGTACGAATAGCCATCTAAGTGCCCAGGAACACTACCCAGTATATTTCAAAGGGTCGGAGAAGTACGCAAACCGTCGCACTACGTTAAGGTCCAATTTCGTTGCGATGGCAGAATAACATAGATATGATGTGGTGCGAGTGCAGACAGGAATCGAGGAAACGATCCTCAGCACAGACTTGGTGGGACTCAGGCGGAAACCAAAGCCAACAACTCAGAAGTTGGCAAGCAATTTAGAGATAACTCAAAAGTGCAGTTTGCCAGAGGTTTATCGCTTAGGTTGGCTGGGCCAAAATGCGCCAGCGTCGTCATCACCAAAGTACAATGGGGCCCGTGAGATAGGTGTCAGATACATTGTGCACGATTTGTACTAGGAGCCTTCCGTGATCATTTATGTCACTCTGGTTAAGAGAGTTGCAGTCACATTCGGTAAATTCTTCTTTCAAGTTTCTCGTCATAGCCAAAACGCATGTACAGTAGCCCACGGTGATAAGAAGGATAAAGAAAATAGGCACCTAAGGACTCAATTGCATTGTTATGAAAGGGTATGGGAGGTAGCAGGTAAAGCAAAAACGCGGACGAGACAAGACTGTTGCACAGACTGACACTAACAGGCAAACTAAACGCCAGTTATAGTAGATGGGTTGTAAGTGACATACTAGAAAAAGAAACGCTCAGTAAAGTAGTGTGTGAGTGGAAGAGGCCAGGAAATGAAAAACCAGCACAAAGCATTGAGCCGAATGGATTCTACTCGCTTTCCGATAAGGGATGCAGACAATCAAGGAGGCGACTGCACAAAACGATATACCGGATTAAGAGGATCTAGTGAATTGTGTGACGCGCTGTTGGCTGGAACCAAGCGGCATTCGATCAGTGATAAGTGCTATAGTTGAGATGAGGCGCTTGTGTTGACGGTGCAACAGCAAAGGATTTGTGAGTCCATAAGCGCCTTGGGAATGGTGGGCGACCGAAAATTAAGTCCGACCGGGTTCAGAGCGTATACAGGGCCGTACACACCGATAGGTAACGTCATGTAGGTGGTTACAGCTTTTGTGTGATAATTTTGGTGAAGAGCACCATCGGGTGTCGTATACACCAGGCTAACCGACTAAGATCGTGACTGGAAGTGAGCACCGTAAAAAGTTGTGGATGAACACATTAAATATGAATAAAAATTACAAATCACTGTGTAGGATGTAAGAATATACAATGAGGGTAGTCAAACCTCAGAATCTCTGTGTAATTGGAAAACGTTCGGTCCGAACACGATCCCGAGAGCCTCCACGGACATTTTATTCACTTCGCGATGAGTCCAGACTGTATGAAGGAATTGGCACAAATGTTGTAAAAGTGTGTAATTGGCAACTGGCAGGCGGCCTATCAAGCGTTCCAATTGATACAAGCATTTCTGCTTGTCTTCCTTATTTCCTTGGAACACCTATTGGAAAGAGAAGGAAATCAGAAAAGACAACTAATAACACATTAGTCAAACAGATCAAAAGGCTTTGTAAGAAAGCATGAACATAAGAAAGCGATGGAAAGCTGCACAGAAAAACAGCGTGGAGTTAGTTACCAGTCAGCTCAGCCATATACATGTCAAAATCAGAACTTGCTCTGGACGGCCGCTTAAGTAATATGTATCCGCTCGGTCTTTTAAAATAACATTTTATTCAAACTGCGATCTCATGGGTTAGCTAACGGATTAAGGTTGAAAAGCAGTTTCTCAGCCACAGGGTTTATCCTATCCTGTGATGCACAAGAGAATGCAGAATAGGTGGATCTAACAAACAAATTCACATATAGTCACGTCGGTCGCCAGCGCCCACGGTGGTCAGTGAGCTTGAGTCCCGCTTACAAAAGAACGTGTCGCGCTTTCGAGACTACAGCCGAGTATAAAAACACATTTCCGACAGGCAATAAAAAAGGAAACGTTTTCCCACTGTTATATTTTACGCCGCCACGGTTATAATTGAGGGAACGCCGCCTCTCGATATGGATTGCGTAACGCCTGATAAGATTGTCGCTGGCCGGTTGGAGCACGCCTACGATGACGACTTGTAACGCTGGCCAATCGAACTGAGTTGCGCTGACCTGACGACGCTAGCTTAGCCGGTGAGACGGAAAATTGAGCGAGCGTGTGACCGATCCTAGCCGCAAGTGTTCGGATAGACGCTGACCCCTCTGAACGGGCACACACGAGAGGGGGTACGATAGACGCGCGCTAATGGCTTAGACGCGAAGGATGGCCAGCTAACGACTCACACGCAATTACGTGACCCGACCGACTCCCAACTGAGGCGAAGAGAAAGAAAAGGCAAATGGTCCTCTGTAGGCTCTTTTACGACCGACAAAGGGCAATCACAGATAGTGCTATGGGTTATTAAGTTAGGGAAAACAGTCACCACGCAGAGGTGATAGTTTGCAAATGAGCATTGTCAAAAGGTGTGCAGTTGGGGCGCGTCTCGGAGTGGCTGAGCTCTGCTGCGTTGTGGGGAGGAATTGGACCTCGCTTTCCACAGCCATTCTCCTGGGGTTTCTGGCGCGTTTTTGCGGGAATATTTGACGTGCCCGCAACACCTCCCTTTGAAGAGAAAGCGTACCGCTTCTGGCAAGGATTGACCTGGAGGGATTTCGGTGACCTCCGGATTCTTTCTGTTCGTCGGCAAGGTGGGTTTTCGAGACGCGGCGTCGATTGAGCGGCTTCGACCGTGGTCTCCCGTTTTGGAGCCAGGATGTGGAGCCAGCAGGATGTGCAGCGGCAGGTGCACGGGATGGCTGGCTGGCGTGGAGGTTTCTCCGTGGCGCGGACGAAGTTGATTGCGATGGCGAACCCAGGTGTCATCACCAACGGAGACATTATGCAGCATGTCACCTCGCCTGGCCGTCACTGTTGCTTTGATCCAGCGAGGATGACCGGCTCGGTAATCGCGAGCGTAGACCGGAGCTCCAACTACGAATTCTCTGTGCTTGCTGTAGGCGCCAGAGTGACAAGGTGGCTTCTCAATCGGAATGAGCGCTTCGTTGATTGTGCGTAGCTTACGGCCCATCAATGCTTCGGATGGTGACTGGCATTCTGGCGTAGCTGGGTTCGGTGTGGACCGGTACGAGAGCAGAAAGGCTTGTAGACACTCATCCACGGTCCCCTCCCCGCGAGATTTCAAAAGCGCCCTCTTGAAGGTGTCGACAAACCGCTCCGCTTGACCGTTGGATTGGGGATGGTAAGGCGGTGAGCGGAGGTGTTCGATGCAGTGTCGGCGACAAAAGTCTTTGAAGACGGAAGACGTAAACTGGGTACTATTGTCGGACACCAAATCCTCGGGAAGTCCATGTTGACTGAAGATTTGTTGGAGACAAGCCAGCGTGGCGGATGAGGTTGGGGGGTTGACGGCGACCACTTCTGGCCATTTGGAATATGCGTCGACCACGACCAGATAGGAAATGCCATCGATGGGACCAGCGTAATCGATGTGCACTCGAAACCACGGTTTTGCTGGCGGATGCCAAGGAACTGATGATTGGTGTGGTGGCATCTTTGAGGCTTGTTGAGAACGTTGGAACACGGGGGCGGATTGACTGGCTTTGTGGCCGGTTCGGTCGTTTGGTACTGTCGGAGAATGTACCACTTTGCAGATGGTCCGAAGAGGAAGATCGGCCAAGCCAAGGGTTTCGAGCCAGTCGAGACCAAGCACGTTGAGCTTCGGCTTTGTGATGTAGCAGATTGCGTTGAACGTGGCGCCCCGGAAGGAGACGGAGAAGTGCAGCTGCCCAGTTAGCTGCACGCGGCCACCACAGGCGCTGGTGGCAGATTGGGAAGTCGGTTCGAATGGTGGCTTGCCAAGGGATCGCCAGAGATCCTCGGAGATGATCGTGATGTCCGACGCAGTGTACAACTGCAATCGGACCGACTGACCGTTGATCAGGACGTCGACGAATTTTCTCCGATCCGCAGCGTTGATTTGGAACGTGGCCAGCAGGCTCAGGGAGCTGCCAACCGGATCAGGTTTGGGTGTGCGCCTGGGTCGGGACCTCTTCTTTGGATCGCGGGTGGGGGCCAGCCCAGTTTTGGCCCCCTTGGGAGTTGGAGGATGGCAGTAACCATCCCGATGCCCCACCCTGCCATAACGTTGACAACGATGCTGGCGGAAATTGCAGTCCCGGTGGAAGTGCCAGCACCACAGAATCGGCATGCGTAGGGTGGGGACTTCGCTCGGTCTGATTGGGTGGGGCGCGCGGACGATTGCGCCCTAGGTGTTGCAACTGCCTCGACTATACCAGGTGCGGCGGCGTTCTGGATCATTGCAGAATCATGCTTCAGGTTGAGCAGCGTTTGACACTCCTCGGCCAGGTTCTGGAGTGTGACTGAGCTATCCTGTTGTAGCCTGGACAGGATGCGCGTCCGGATATCGGCATCGTGTGGAGACTGGAGGCCAGAGACGAAGATCAGGCATTTGAATTGGTCCTCGGTGAGCGAGCCAAGTTGAAAACGCTGGCATTCACGGTTGACCATGCCCGCGTACGTGATGAAGTCGTCGGCATCACGTTTGACCAGCAGCAGACATTGGTAACGAGCATTGAACAGGGAGGACTGCTCGCCAAAAATCTGTGACAACGTTCGGACCGTGTCGTCAAAGGTAACGTCCCGTGGGTTCCTCGGCAAGATGAAATTGGTGTAGCGCTGGTGTTCGAGGGTACCAAGTTTGCGCAGAAGCAGGCGGACCTTCCACGCGTCGTCCTGGCGTGCCAAATCTACGGCGAACAGGTTCTCGTACCGCTTGTACCAAGATTCGAACGTTACTCCGGCCTTGGTGTCGTAGAGGAATTCGCTGATGCCGCTAACCACCTGGTCCACTGACTGAGAAGTGGCGCTCGGACCTGCATGAAGGGAAGAACTGGAAAGCCTATCGGTTAGCACGGACATCAATTTAAGCTGTTGCTGCAGCATCAATTTTAAATCGGCGTATTCGTCAGTCATGGTTCGTCAACTCTGTCGCCACTGTTATAATTGAGTCGCCGCTGTTATAATTGAGGGAACGCCGCCTCTCGATATGGATTGCGTAACGCCTGATAAGATTGTCGCTGGCCGGTTGGAGCACGCCTACGATGACGACTTGTAACGCTGGCCAATCGAACTGAGTTGCGCTGACCTGACGACGCTAGCTTAGCCGGTGAGACGGAAATTGAGCGAGCGTGTGACCGATCCTAGCCGCAAGTGTTCGGATAGACGCTGACCCCTCTGAACGGGCACACACGAGAGGGGGTACGATCGACGCGCGCTAATGGCTTAGACGCGAAGGATGGCCAGCTAACGACTCACACGCAATTACGTGACCCGACCGACTCCCAACTGAGGCGAAGAGAAAGAAAAGGCAAATGGTCCTCTGTAGGCTCTTTTACGACCGACAAAGGGCAATCACAGATAGTGCTATGGGTTATTAAGTTAGGGAAAACAGTCACCACGCAGAGGTGATAGTTTGCAAATGAGCATTGTCAAAAGGTGTGCAGTTGGGGCGCGTCTCGGAGTGGCTGAGCTCTGCTGCGTTGTGGGGAGGAATTGGACCTCGCTTTCCACAGCCATTCTGCTGGGGTTTCTGGCGCGTTTTTGCGGGAATATTTGACGTACCCGCAACACCCACCTTTTTATTCTACGTGTGTGCTCTGGTAGTAACTAACACACCGAGTCTGCTGTAAAAACCAAGTTGTTATTAACAAACTAACACAATTTCAAAAAGCGCTAAATAAACATCACACCGGTTGGTGGAGATGACAATAGCGACACCTGGACTGGTCAGATTAACAGTAGCTATATCAAAACGGGTAGTAAGTGATGCGTAAGTGGAAGCATAATGTGCCGCGATCGGAAATGCTAGCGTTCCAGATGCTCGACACCTTGAAGTGACGAATTATGGAACCCCAGGAAGTACATTAGGTCAACGCAAGTGGAACCGACGTGTAATGGGCTCGACTGCCACAACTCATGTAGCCCGGATAATGGCTGTTAACAATAGTGAGGAAAATCAGATAAAACGAGTAAATACAAGAGGGTAAGGAAAAAGATAAGTAGGGTCAAGCTATATTCAACATTAATAGCTAGATTTAAAACAAAAAAACAATGATGTGTCAGCTGTGCGCCGTAACGGCGTTTCGCTGCCGTACGACCACCACCAGTCGCACGCGGGCTGCGTATACTGCGAGGATGCCCACCCCTACGCGGATTCGAAACCGCGCCACAAGAGTAGGAGACAAGCTCATTACGTCTAGGCTACACGCCGTCTTAAAAAAAGAATATGATGCCGACACCGGTTCCGAGGCTGCGTCAGGTCTCTAATTGTTAATGTGGTGAATCCCGAGACCCTCATGCATGAAAACGGCACAACCAGTCGGACCCCATAAGGGATTTAAGCTGTCATCAATTGGCTACCTCGCATTTTCGTTTAAGTAGGTGCAGCAAGAGCACATAATACACACAGAAAAAGGCGATTCAAATTTGGTACATTCCGATGAGGTATCACAGGGTTTCTTGGCAAATAACCACTAGTGGACATCAGCACTGCTCGCCCGATGCTCCAATCAGGTGTGAGTATTGCTACACAAGTAACGGTGATCACGGTACACTAACCTATTATTAAGTTCCGAGTTTTGGAGCCCAATGACCTAGTGATCATGGCGATAGTCGCCAACTACTATGAGTTCCACTCTCAGCTGAGGTTCTCTACATGATGAGACCAAAAGACGAAATGCGTCGTGGAATGCAGGGATGAGTAAGAGCAACACCGAGACTTTCCACAAACGCATAGTGCCTCTGATCCATACGGTAACATTAGCCTAATTACTGTGTTGTGCAGCCTACACCCGACCAATAGTCTGACATCCGTGGAAAATAAATAGGAAAATAAAGACGGTTGGGTGCCGAAGTTGACATCGAAATAAGGTGGCGAAACTTATCCGATACGAACAATACTCAGTGGACACAGGTTACTGAAAGCAAAACACATACCTCAAGAAAGGATGGAGTTACTCTAGCCGGGATTAATCCGTCAGGGAGTTCTCTGAGGTATAATTTCAAGAGACTAGCCACGGAATACACGTCTACTGAACGCTCCAGTTCTGTGGCCATCTCTGAGAGCTCGGACAAAGACCAATGTGAGCCGTTCTCATCAATAAGGTGTTTTAAAATATCCACCGTCCGGGAATTTCCATTCACACGAAACACCCCTTCCGCTTCGAGACCACGATGATTGATCAAAAAGTCGAATACGTTGGTTACAATCAAGGGTATTTCTGATTTGTCTCGGTCGATCACATCTTTCAGGGGGGCGCCGAATGTGTAAAGTGGATAGGATCCATGTGGTGAGCTATTGTACTTCTTCTTCGTAACCGGATTACCGTTGAACTTTCGCAGTAGTCTTTCCATCACCATTGCAACTGAAAAAAATACGGGCGAAGGTTACGGAAGTAAAAGCTAGGCCATGAGAGAACCAGCTTTTGTGAGGGATGGTGTTCCAATAGATCCAGCTGAAACTATAAGTGGCGGGGTTAGTTTACTAGTAAGGGTATTCGATTTAATCGTCCGAAAGTTAGCTAAATACGAAACGACAATCAATGAATGGACGGGTTGCCACCTGAGAGAACAAATCAGCTAGTGAAGAGCACAGATGCTAGAAAGCATGCTCGAGTGAAGCGAAGATGCCAAGTATCCCATAACTGCGCTTTAGTGGGCCGATCCGTAGGATAAGGAGAGTAGTGGGGGGACTATGCGAACTGAGTAATCAGACAATGGCTTCCAATGTGCATGATTCCCAGAATTCGCCCCGCTGGTTTGAGGTTATCTGGCTAAGGGCTCGGATGGTGTCCACTAAGTTAATCCATTGATTTAACTTGGGCGATGTTCTATACTGTGTTCAACGGCTGCTGTTTTCGTTTTTTTACATTCATGCGCTTTCACCACACCCCAACTGTACAATAGTCAACAATCCCTATTATCCGTTGCCTGATTTCTGTTTTCATGGGTCTATTTCCGATACTGTTTTCACTGACAGCCAGTTGCTCTCCTTCGACCCCGATTTGTGCTCCGTAAGGCATGCTCCATGTACGGATACTAATGCAGCTTGGACAACAAGCTGATCCACCGCGTACCCGGCAGTTTTCAATACTGATGTCTGTTGCCTCTCTAAAACCCGATTGCAGTGTCCCAGTAATGTGGCTAAATTGACACCCTCCAATGTCCACTGAGCCACATAACTCCTGCGTCTTTCTGGTGACACAGAAGCCGCTACAGTGGGTTTGGCTAGCGTAAGCGCAGTACCAAGTGGCAAGACCGAGGCCGTACTGCTGGACTGGTACCCAACTAACAACCGACTGTGTGTAGTTGGACTCCAGCGTTCATGTTGAACCAACAGGCGTCTCAAGAGGAGGCGCATCCGCTTTAACTGACAGCGGTAGTGACTACATTAAGGACGACTTTTATCGAGAGTTTCATCGGTTCTTGAATAACGCTAACAAAACAGATGCTGCTGGGGATTTTAATGTACGGATTAGCCACCTGGACCATACGAACGTCATCTTGGTGGTCATTATGCGATAGATGAGGACCGCTCAGATAACGAAGACAGACCTCTCAAATTGTGCGAATACGCCCATGGGAACCAATTTCAGGCGTACGATGAAACGTTCGATAACTTGGCGGCCCTCATCGTAAACACCAATGTGGTCTCGAATTGTTCACACTACAATCTGCTTAGGGTGACGCGGGAAGCATACAGAACTGCAGGTCAATTTAGTCTGTTTTCATTGACCCAGATCATGCGCTGGTCTGCGAAAATCTGCATGTGTTTTGGGGGTCCCCAAAAACGAAGCATGGCAATATTTATACGAATAGATTAACTGATTCCCCAGTCCAGTTGAGCTATCAGTCTTCACCAGCAAATGCAATCAGCTATAATCTATCACAAGACCATGAACAAAACTGGACTACAATATTGAAGGAAACGATCACTTCCGGGCGATCAAGCTGAGATCTAGCTTGGCAACCTCGCAGTTTGGAGGTGGTCGACTGTCGCAGATACCCAGAGAGAATCAGATTACAATCAATAGCGTCGCTATGTCAACTGGAAACTCAAGCAATTATCGCAAAGCTTGGTGGTCAACGTGATTCGGAGTTGGAGACCATTGCGCTTTCTGAGAACACTCGTAAGCTATCCTAGCCCATTCCATCCAGCGGTTTCAAAAAACTCGGAGTCAGTGAGATCACTTGGAAGATTGATGTATCGTCGATCAATGGCTAGCAGACATTTGAGCCGCTAGGCCGAACAACTTCGTTCGCACTTCAATTGCCCATCTGTGGGGACAGTATCGCAAGCTGCTTACACGCTCTTGCCCAGCTGGGTCCACAAGATGAAGCGGAAGTCTATCACTACAAAACCCAACAAGACCCATACAAGAGTGCTGTTTGTTAATTTTTCCAGGGTGAGAAGGAGTAACAAACGTACAAAAGGTAGTGTCATTCGATTAATGCCGCATAGGAGTCAGACAATCCTACATTTCGGGACCAGGATTACGAAATGAAATTTAGGATGAAACCTAATGTGCGATCAGTCCGATAAAACACAGAAGTATCGAAGTTAACATTTTAGCTCAGTCATCAGTAGAAGAAGGAAGGGGCTGAACACAATGCCAAGCTACAGATCACACATTAACGCGCGAGCACGCTTCTATCTAGACGGTTGTGCAGTTACCTGGATCGGACTTTCGCAAATATCAGGCATGTGCGAATCCCCCAGAAAACGGGGAAAACTGGTGCTATTCGAACGGTTTAAAGGACATCAAGTAGAGAAGAATTCTCAAAATGAAACAGGAGTCCAAGCGGCGGAAAGAAACAAAGCAACGCCCATGATCACCATAATTCAACACATCACCTGGGGGTGAGAAACGCCACATAATTGGGCGGACGTAAAAACAAAACGAGATAGCGGTTAGAGGGGACGCTAGGTGGGATAAAGAAAATCACAAAACAGACGCCACTGGAGTCAGTTCTTTGCAATGGGTATCCTACCAAACGTGTCCATCGCCGTTAGAAACGAAACCAGAGAATCGGGGAGCGCCAACCGAGACCAACTTTGAAGTGAGAAACTACATCGGTTGATCTCCGCTGTTCTTTTTCTATCCAGACCCGGTCAAGCAAATGCGTCGCGGGGGGGGGGGGGGGGGGGCTGTGTGCTGGAAAGTGTAATAAGTGGCCGGGGCATCAAAGCCCGGTGCTTGACAATTGTGCTTAGCCGGTCACTTATTCTTCCTGCATCAAATACGAGAAGTCGAAAAAGCTCAATGTACCTGCGGTGTTCACACTAAGTGTGAGGGTCCATGATCAGTATCGACGCATGTTGACCAAAATGATCGGTAGTCGCGTACGCTGCCGCGCCACCTGCGACTTATAGTTATGTGGTCAATCTGTGACCAACGCTGGGTTGATGAGGAGGGGGGCGCCAAGTGGCGTACTGGCGTCCAGGATGACGAAAGCTGGTGCTGGAGAGGAATAGTTGATGATCAGCACACAGACTGAGCAGTCTCTCTATTGTCTGAGCGAACATCATCATATCCATGCGGTCCCCCCGAGGTGGCGCTCACATGGCAGCAGACGACCGACACGCGCGTTGAAGTTACCTGCCAAAACAATGATATCTGTTTTAGGAGCCCTTAGGAGCAGCTCATGAAGGTTCTGGTAGAACTGGTCTTTGACTGTGTCCGACCTACAGTCAGTGGGCGCGTAGGCAGAGATTAAGAAGAGAGCACGCTTTTCGACTCGACGTCTGTTAACTTTACAAGAGCCATGGAGCCTCATAGCTCAAAGGTGGCTACTGATCGGCATCCAATCAATCAAAGCAGTCTCGGCTCTAGCAGTGAGGGCGATTCCAACACCAGCTTGCCCAGATGCGGTAGACTTGGCGTCACCAGAGGCGTAGATGGAAGCGGATGCGTGGGTGGAGCGGTGACACCAGCTGGTAGACCGAGTTAGAGTCCTGGAGTCACTTTCATTCAAGCAACAGATATCAATTCGAAGAGTCTAGCGTGCGTGCAAGTCGAGGTTGCTGATCGATCTGCAGTAATGTGCGCACGTTAAAGGCTGCAAGTTTGAACTGCGTTCCGGGTTGCAGGAGCGAAGATGGGAGACTTTTGGACTGGCAGCTCTCTGTTGAGCACTGTGTGGTTGAGTTGGCAGATGTCACGGGAACAGGTTCGTCGGTGTAGGTGGGGTTGATCGCCATAAAGGAAAAAGGTAAAATGGGTGTGAATGGTACAAGGGAAGGGTAGGTAAAATGGTGGCGTGTGCTTGTGCAGTTGGCATAGTAACATGAGTGAACAGCATGGTAGCAGCAAGACAGCGGGTGAATGGTTTTAAGTCCATGGTTCATCAGTGGGCGAGATACTACCCGGTTACCCATGCCGAAGTAGAGGGTTGTCTTAGGGGGCCCCACCCCGAGCCTTTGATCAAGGATCTAACCTATAAGGCAGCAGGACAATATGGGGGTATCGCAACCCGTTGGAAGCCGGTGACCAAACAAGTGGTTCATACGCCTTTAGGATCGCATAGGACCAGGGGTCCAACACACCCTTGAATTACAATGCCACTCAGAGGCAAGGGGCAGTGACTATATTTAGTGGTGAGTCATCCGCCACGTCACCGTGTTGTTAAACGGACATATGTGGCTTTTTATAGGGAGAACGGTTGCCAGGCATAAACTCACCAAGTCCTGGAACACTGCCGCCGAACCATTCGCTGGAACGGGATAATCGCGAACCACCCAGCTGGTAATACAAGGTTATTCGGTACACAATACCGACTCTTCGCTGCCGCGCAACTACCACCGGTCACATGTAGGCTAAGGAAACTGCAAGGATCATCCTGCCCCTACACACGCTCGAAACCGCGCCGTTACATTGCAAGACAGGCTAGTAGCAGTCTGGTGATTCCCCGGTTCGCCAGTGTAAAGTGCTAACCAAAATTATTTTACTGTGCACCTAGGCGACCGGTGTAGTTTGTTGAACTGATTGCTGAGTACGAATGCTTGACTTGATTAGCGCTATTTTTGCATGTTACTGGTTTCGGTTGCAACGCGCGACCGCCCTGTGTGCTGTGCATCCGCCGTTCCCCAAACTAGAGCGTCAACGGTGCTGTTTTTTATAGCTAGGCAACAATAAAAGTATCCCTACAACCCGAGCTGCCTTTACGAATCGCCCTCAAGGCTCCCGCTACAGGTTACTCGCTATATATATATATGTATATATATATGTATATATATATATATATATATATATATATATATATATATATATATATATATATGAAGCATTCTTTTGTGTAGAATTTCGCTGATGACCAATGGTACACTATCCTTTCTTGTTTCAATCTCCCTTACATGCACGTGGATCTACATCCGGTTCGACACTCGACCGGCTCGTAAGTTCCCGCGCTCACGTGTTCCTCCTGTCTTGTTTCACTCGTCCGCGTATTCTTGTAGCTCATCA